CCGCCCTCCCCCCCCGTTGTGTCTTATGGGAAGGGGGTCCTTGGTTCCCCTCTGGTATGTTCCTGCGTTTGCGCACGACCTGAGCATCTGGAACTGGCGCCAGATGCCCTCCCTCCCTCCAACCTTCCCGAGGCCACAGGACGCCCCCCACTTCCCTCCACTCCCATTGATACTTATTTCATTTTTTGAGACGGAGTCTCACTCTGTCCCCCAGGATGGAGGGCAGAGCTGCGATCTTGGCTCACGGCAGCCTCCACTGCCCGGGTTCAGGTGATCCTCCTGCCTCAGCCTCCCGAGCACCTGGGATTACAGATGCCCACCGTCGTGCTCCCCGATTTTTGTATTTTCACTACAGACGGGTTTCGCTACGTGGGCCAGGCTGGTCTGGAACTCCCGACCTCGTGATCCGCCCTCCTCGGCCTCCCAAAGTGCTGGGATTACGGGCGTGAGCCGCCGCGCCCGGCCGAAGGTGGGGTTTTGAGGCTTTTGTCCTGAACTGGCTGCTTCAACCTCCCAGTTTCCTCCGTGGGACACGGAGCCTCCGTGACAGTTACGGATCCAGCGGACGGAGGCGGTGGACTTGATCTCAGTAAGTTTATTATACCGTCCTCATCATCGTCCTTTGAGATGGAGTCTCGTTCTGTCGCCCAGGCTGGAGTGCGGTGGTGACATCCTCCGCCTCCCGGGTTCAAGCGATCCTCCTGCCTCAGCCTCCCGAGTAGCTGGGATGACAGGCACACGCCACCACGCCTGGCTAATTTTTGTATTTTTAGTAGAGACGGGGTTTCCCCATGTTGGCCAGGCTGGTCTCGAACTCCCGACCTCAGGTGATCTGCCCACCTCGGCCTCCCGAAGCGCTGGGATGACAGGCGAGAGTCACCGCGCCCGGCCCCTGCTGTGGTTTTACGGTGGCAGGCAGCCACGATCCTGCTGTCTGTGTCTTCCCACCCTCGTGAGACCGTGGCTGGCCTTCCTGGAGGGAAACGTGGCTTTCTGGACCCCGTGTTGAGCTCTGCTTTTCAGCTTCAGGGGAGGCTACCGATGGGTGAGTCTCTAGGACCCCTCCAGGTCTGTCTTCCAGAACCAAGAAAGGGTGGCCCGGGCCGTCTTGGGGCACTCGCTTTCCCGGGCTTGCTGTGGAGCGTGGGTGGGGGAGGGTTGGGGCTGCAGGTCTGAGGCCACACGCTGCATTTCCAGCCTCTCTGGGGTCTGCTGGGGTGACAGCCACACACACGCCCACGTCGGCCACGTCAGCCACGTTGCCCACGTCTGCCAGTGCAGTCCAGCCTGGGTGACAAGAGCCACACTCTGTCTCCAAAGACGGACATGGGCAGTGGGGAGTCGATGGTTCCCAAGCTTTGCAGCCTGGTGGCCGCCTGCGTCACGTGGCTCCCTGCCCTGGGCGTCTGATTTCTCCTGCAAGGTTGCTGTGAGTGGGGCCGAGGCCCAGGCAGGTAGGACAGGGGCTCTGGGCGTCTATCACCAGGGGAGGGGCGTGCGTCCCACTGTCACGCTGTGGTTGTACCCGTGAGCTGTTTGCCACAGCTGCCACCCAGGTCCATCGTGGTTTCAGGGCAGAGCTGTGTGCTGGGGGCTAGGGACCCCCCGGGAGCCGCATCGCCGTGATGTTATCTGTGCACCTCGGGGGGCCTCCTTCCCAATGGGGCCTCGTTCCCCCCTCTGGCTGCTGTTCCGTGAGGTCAGGCTGTGCCGCACTAGGGAGATGGGGTGACTCTGTCCCCACAGAGGGGCTGTTCTCGTGGCCGCCTCGTGGCCAGGGCCCCCACATGTGGTTAGAGTCACTCACAGTCCCCACGTGGTCAGAGCCACCATGGTACCTGATGCAGGGGTGGACACAGGTGTACCATGGGCAGGACACGGGCCAGCGAGGGACCCATGAGGGGCTGCAGTGAAGACCCGGCCACCGTGAGGAAGAGCCAGGGCAGCCCCCACCCAGGAGCTGCGTGGGCTCATCCTGTGGCCGAGGGGGCGGCCGGGTGCTGTGACGGGGAGAACTGAGCCCGCTCCCCAGGCCCTGAGTGGGGTTTGTGGCTGCCGAGCCTGGAGGGGCCGGGGCTGGGGGCCCTCCCTGCCCTTCCACGGTCTAACCGTGGGTCACAGGGAATGTGGTTCGAGCCCCCGGCAGTCGTGCAGGGCGAGTGGCTTCGTCTGCAGGTGTCAGACTGCAGGGTTTGGGCTGGGCGGGGTCTGTGACCGGCCCGAGTCCCATGAGCCACAGGATGTGGTGTCTCAGGGCTCTGTGCTGCGCGGCGCTCAGGGGCGCCACGCTGGGGAGGAGCGCGGCCTCTGCTCCTTCCCGTCCTCTGCGAGTCATAAAGGTCTATCCGTCCCCACCCTTCCGTCCCCTGCCCTCTCTGTTCCCCCCATTCCCCCCTTCTCCCCGGGAGGTCTGTTTCCTCCAGAAACTGCTGGGTGCGGCTCTGCCTCTGCCTCATTTCGCCATCTGATGCCCACCAGCGTTCTGCCCCAGCTCCCCGGTTTTCCTCCCCCTCCTCCCCATCTACACCTCCCCTCCTCCCTCTTCTCCCCTTTCCACACCTCTCCTCCCCCTCCTCCTTCTTCCTTCTCTCCTCCCCCCTCCACATCCTCCTCCTTCCGTCCTCCTGGTCAGGGAGACCCGGGTGCTTGTTTTGTGGGGGTCCCCAGCCCCCCTCACAGGTGGACTGCAGCAAAGGTGTGTGGTGCACAGCAGGCAGAGAGGCGGCCCAGGGCGTGGGTCTGGGACTGGGGAGGGAGGGGGTGTCTGTGGAATGCAGGGAGCACGGGGCTGCGGGGGGCACTCGGAGGCGTTCAGGGGCCTCAGCAGGAACACGGGGTGAGGAGGCCGCTGTATTCACGTTCATGGCCCCAGGGAGGCCTCTGCCATCACGGCCTCCAACCCCCACGGGGTCTCCTCGTAGTGTCAGTGCTGCAGGCTGAGGGGCCCCCCCAGAGGTGACCCCCCCCACCATGGGCTCTGGCTTGCAGCTGTGTGTGCAGGGGGGAGGGGCTTTTCTGAGGCAGTGCAGGGGACGTGCTACCCGGAGCTCAGGGCAGGGGCGGGGGGCCGTGCAGGCCGTGACTCCCGGGTCATTGTCCTGCAGCGGCTGGGACCCGCCTGCCTCCACCCCCAGCCCCCAGTCCCAGCCCCGGTGCTGGGGACGATGAGCCTGACCCTTGGCAGACCCAGGTGTGGGCGTCCTCGGGGTATCCGGGAGCACCTGCTGACACTGTGGCTGCCTTGGGGGCAGCAGCCGTCCCCTGGGCACTGTGGCCCTGTGCCCCCAGCTGAGCCCCCACCGTCTCTCCTAGGTCACGGGACCACCCTGTGTGCCCACCTTGGTCACGGCCACGCGTCCCGGTGGACAAACGGGGCGTGTGTGTTGCTCTCGGGGTGGCCGCGGCTCCCCTCCTTCCGTGTGTGACCGAACACCGTCCAGTTATCCAAAACAGAAGCGTGACCGCCACACAGGCTTTGTGCTTCCCACAAAACGCTCCTGCAGGCCGGGGGGCTCCGTGCAGGACGGGGGAGGGGAGCGGGGCCGCCCCTTTCCTGGGAGACGCTGCCGCCGGGGAGGTCGGGTCACCGCGGGGACTGCAGAGGCTGGGGGGGTCCGTGTGGGAACCCGTCCCGTTCCCGAGCGGCCACAGAGCTCCAGGCAGGTGCAGCCACCCCCCCTTCCCACGCCCCCACCGCCCCGAGCCAGCAATGACCGCGCCTCTGTGAATAAATAAAAATTTATCATTCCATACAAACGCACGCGTTTTCCGCAAAAGACAACGACGGGACGGTTTCCACAGCGGCCGCGCGGACCCCCGTGGGCGGCGTCACAGCGGCTGCAGGTCCTCGTCCCCGCACGCGAACTCGTACAGGTCCACGGAGCCCAGGGGCGACGGCGCCTCGAAGAACGGCCTCTGGGCCAGCGGCGACCGCAGCGCACTCAGCTTCTGCTCCACGGGGCTGAGTTCGGCCTCGAACCTGCAACGAGAGGATGGTGAAGCCGCGGGGGCCGCGCGAGGCGACGCGCCCTGGAGACGCCGCGATGTTTTCCGGAAACGCAGGCCGCTGGGCCGCCAGCCCCGAGCCCCGAAGCCGACCTGGAGCTGCAGGCGCTGACCCAGCTGGAGTGGGGCCTGTGGTCACAGGACGGGCTGGAGCCCCCGGCACGAGGTCCCCACCGCGGCCTTCCTACCGGGGGAACCTGGGTGGCGCGCGCTTCCCCGAAGCTACGCCGACAGTGACTCAGAGCAGCGCTGACCCGCCTGGCCGTGCTGTGGTGTCCACACGAGAAGGCAGAACATAAAGCCCAGGATGGGAAACGGTTTCCGAAACGGCGCATCCGCGCTCGGCTTAGACGGATTCTCCCAACACGCACACGAGAGCTCCAGGGGACCGGACCACACAGCAGCGCCAGGACTGGACGTGCGCCCGCGCTGAGCGTCTCGGCAGTGATGGGGGCACCACTCCGGGGCCACCAGCCGCACAGACCCTCGGAGATGCCGTGTGGACATGTCTGCTCTACAAGACACCCCCCGAAGCCTGGCGCTGAGCTCCCCACAGGCCTGGTCACCCTGGCCACGGACGTGAGTGCCGCCAGCCAGGGCGGGAGTGGACACGGGGAAGGTGGCACGTGGCTACCCGAGCGCGGGACTGGGCGGCAATGGCGGTGGACACTGGTCAGGTGGGGAGCAGGGAGCAGGGGGATGGGAGGAGGAGAATGGCGAGAGGAGGAAGAGATGGATGGTCGGGGCTCAGCGGGAGCCCCAAGAGCCCGGCAGGAACAGGACGGAGTGTGGGGAGGGGCGGGGCTTAGAACGCAGCTCCGTGGCGACCGTGGTCGGGAACAGGAGAGTGTTTTGAGCGGCCTGTAAGTGAGGACGCCTGACCCGGCGGCTCCCAGTGCCCACTGAGAAGACAGGAAAGGGCCTCGGGCGTCAGCGGCCCACGCTGCTGCGGGAAGGCACGTGGAGAACAGAAGGAAAACCCGAACAAGGCCACCAGAAAATCAGTGGTACTCGTGGTTCCGTGACAAGATTGAAATCGATCGTCCTTACCCATGCCGATCATACAGAAAAACACAAATCGGAATCACGCACGCGGGAGACGCCAGCGCCGTGGAAGCCGCAGGTGTTAAACTCCCAAGCAGGAAACATCACCGACGGTAACGAAACCACTTCGGTGAACGCGCGTGTCTGACGCGCACACACCAGCAAAGCTCCCTCAAGGGCGGAGGCGGGGGCTCAGGCCTGTCATCCCAGCACTGGGGGCCGGAGGCGGGCGGACCCTTGAGCTCACGTGTTCAGGACCAGCCTACACCGCATCTCCACAAAAATCCGGGCGCGGTGGCGCTCCCGTCATGGCAGCTACTCCGGGGGCTGAGGCGGGGGGACCCCTTAAGCCCGGGAGGTGGAGGCTGCAGTGAGCCGAGACTGTCCCACCTCCCTCCAACCTGCATGACAGAGCCAGACTGTCCCCCCCAAAAAAGAATCACGGACGTGGCCTCAGCCAGTTTCTGATACGGTCACTTATTTATTTATTTACTTATTTATTTTTTGCAAGATGGAGTTTCGCTCTTACTTCCCAGGCTGGGGTGCAATGGTGCCATCTCAGCTGACGGCAACCAGCATCTCCCAGGTTCAAGCACTTCTGCCTCAGCCTCCCGGTAGCCGGGATTACCGGCGTCTGTGCCACCACGCCCGGCCGATTTTGTGTCTTTGTCGTAGAGACGGGGTTTCGCCATGTGGCTCAGGCTGGTTTCGAACCCCCGGCGTCACGTGATCTGCCCGCCTCGGCCTCCCAGTGCGGGGATTAGAGGCGTGTGCCACCACACCGGCTGAATTTGATTTTTAGTTGGAAGCCTCTCACGAAGCTGCCGTTCCCAATGGCCTCCCTGGCCCATTCCACCAAACGGGTCCAGGAAATTCAAGAAAATTCCGGTAAAGTTCTGGGGGGAGCACAGCGGGGCATGCGTTGCCCCGACGGTAGTCATGGCTTTGTAGCTATGAAGGTACGTCAAGGCGCAGGCATCGGCACCCCCAAAACGTCCGTCGTACCACAACAGAGCGGTTATTGAAAAACCCAGGCCCCCCCGGGGCCACTGGTGAATTCTAGCAGACATCGAGGAACGAAGAAACAGGAGTCTCTACACGCTCTTCCAGAAAACACAGTGAGAGAATACTGCTCCCCCTTCCCTGAGCCCACATTACCCCGACACCAAAGCCAGACCCAGATATCGGCAGAAAATCAGCCGGCCGGGCGCGGGGGCTCACGCCTGCAACCCCAGCCCTTTGGGAGGCCGAGGAGGGAGGATCACTTGAACCCAGGAGTTTGGGGCCGGCCTGGGCAACACAGCAGGACTCTCTTAAAACAAGAAGCTGGGTGTGGAGACGCAGTCCTGTCGTCCCAGGTGCTCGGGAGGCCGAGACGGGAGGATCGCCTGAGCCCGGGAGGTGGAGGCCGCAGAGAGCTGAGATCCCACCGCTGCACTCCAGCCCTGGTGACAGAGCGAGACCCTGCCTCAAAAACTCAATCAGCAAACAAAACGCTGCAGATAATCAATATATACGAGGGTAACGTATGACGCAGGAAGATTTATCCTGGGAACACAAGGCCGGCTGAAAGTGTCGCAGTGTATCTGACTTTATGGCCACAGACAGGAACCACGGAGCGAAAGCATGTGAGAAACCCAGCCCTGGCTGTGAGGACGCCTCCGAAGACCAGGCCTAGTGCGGCACCCGCGTACTGCTGCGTCAGGGGAGACGGCCCCCAGGGCTGGGAACGATGGCCGTGCGCCCTGACTCCCCCCAGCCCCCCAAATCACACTGCAGGCTCCAGGCCAGGCAGCGGGCCAGAAGAAGATTACAGGTGGCTCAGGCCTGTCATCCCAGCACTTCGGGAGGCCGAGGCAGGCGGATCAGCAGGTGAGGAGTTGGAGACCAGCCTGGCCAGCATGGTGAAGCCCCGTCTCTAGTAAAAATACAGAAAGTAGCCGGGTGTGGTGGCGGGTGCCTATAATCCCAGCTATTCAGGAGGCTGAGGCAGGA